GGAAATGAAAATTTCATGATTTTATCTCTGAGTCTGAACATGCACATACGAGTAACTACGGTGAATTTCGGATTCGGCTATGTTCTTCTTTAGACTTGTAAAGACAAAAATTATTTGAGAAGCCTATTAATATATACAAAATATTTAATTTAAAAAAGTTTCTGGGACATTCCAACATGGCGAGTGGGACATGTTAACTCGTTTTTGCTCAAACTTTAACTAATTTCTCTTTAACCATTAACTAAACAAGTTTCTGCGGGCCGAGGGGGACTGCCCCGGATTTATGAGCTATGTCCCTGGTCTGCCTTCCGAGACGCAAAATGTCCCGGTTTTTGGGAAGAAATTATAAAATATTTAGAACTCTTTAAATATTTACATTTTATCTATATATTCTTTACCCTATACGTTGCACAGTGTATTATTTCCATATTCTAAAAATATTAATTAAATTATTTTAAATCGCCAAATTTCAAAAAAACGTCAGAAATGTTTTCGGAAATGCCTGATAAAGGCGAAACAATAACAACTGCAAAATTTAAATCAAAGTGTATGGCGGGACGGGATTTGATTTGGAACTGAATTTCAATGTTTAAGTTTTTGGTGTTTTGTGATTTATGCAACAATTGTTAAAATACCATTTTGGTTTTATTACAACGCTTTTTTTAGATATGTTCTTTTTAGTGAATATAAATTTTTGAGATTTTAGTAAACTAGGACTGAGTATTTCATATTAAAGTAAAACGACGTTAACTAAAATAAATTTTAGTAATTTATTAATTTCATTATACCCGCAAACTCGTTATCCGCGATTATTCGATAAAGTTTTTATCTCAGTTTATTTGCCACTCCATTCTTGACTTCAAACAACTTTAGCAGCTGGAAAGTGCTGGTTTAGACGAAATTTTCTTTTTTTCAGGCCTACTAGGAATTTTATTTTCTTCGAGAAATTCATTTGCATAGGATCTCGACCGAGACATATTTTTTTTATTTTCGCTTTTGAATAAAGCTTTTTAATTACCTTTCAAATGGTACCCATGATACAAATATTTAAAGGTAGTATCACTTCTTCTTCTTAGCCGCCATTGCTCCCATTTGACGTAAACTGTGCTTTTGGCATTTTCTTTTGAAATCGAGCTACCATATTCTTTGACAAAAGTAAAAAAGTGATTGATTACTTAAAAAAAAAAAATATATATATATATAATTATTTAAAAGAAATTAAAGCTAAGAATAAGGGGTTTCTGGCAAAATTTTTTTAGTTTCACTTTTATTTCAACATATTTTGATTAAAAGAAAAATACTGATAAACAAGTAAGAAAGTCTAAGTTCTAATAAGCTTTAATATTTACTGATT